CGAAAGTAAATGGATTGGATGCATCCCACAATTTATTATTTCTTCCTCAGGCGTACCTCGTCGATAACTCGACCTGTATCCACTTCGCGATTTGCCATGACTGTACACGCTGACGACATCCGCTCCGTTCGACACTACAACGCTCACTGAAAGCAGAGGCGCTCTAGCGATCGTCGCGGCCGTACGCGTCGCGCGTCGGCGCTGCGTAGCTGTCAGCGCTGACCACCGTGCGCGCTGATAGCTACGCGTCATTCAAAAACGATTCCTAGAAGTTCATATATCTCAACCATCAGTGCCGACGGTGCGCGTGCGGTCGGCGTGACACTAAATTCAGCCTTATATGTAAGTAGGTTATAAGGCTTCTGGTGTGCCACACACATGCCGTCAACTTTTTTGTTTAAGGCACGTGGTCTCACGATTTTACTTCACTACGCGAATGTTTATTGCACATAGAATAAAACGCCAATTGCTACACAGACGCTAACCTGAGCAACCGTATTTTATAAGCAAATGCATCATTTTTTCTATAACTTTTTATAACCAAGGAACATATTTGAGACTTTCAGGAATACACAACTCGGGTTGGTCCGACATGATCGCAAGTCAAATATCGCGGTAATTTTCGCGCTCTGCCTTACTTTTATTTTTGATACATACTATTTTTCTATTTATAAAAATACTGTATAAATGTATGTCTGTAATAAAGAACTTTTTGTTAATATTCAAATATTAGCAAAATTATTGTTAAATTTTTATTATTGCTTACAATATAAATAAAGAGTACAAAAACACTGAAAAACCACTAAAGAGTTTAAACCTTGGTGTCTGATGGGCTATACAACAGTACGAATTTCTTTAAATTCCTTACACATTATTCTTTTTTGTACCATACACATATAACATCTATTTTAAATTTATGGAGCCAAGTAATCACATCACAGATTGACCATGTTTAAGGGTCCTTGCAATTTTCGGGTATTATATTGTGAGTAAACTATTAACAAGGCACAATATAAGGTTGTCCGTTCTCCATATATATGCGCGGACTAAAATCTTACGTTGTTTACGCTGTAGTATGCGTCAATGAATGTTCGACACTGCTTCTCCGATATAGTTGAAAAAGTTTTCCATGAGGAACGAATATTGAACTTGTTCATGGATTGGTATTATTCCAAGGTTTCTAAACAATCTTAGGTCAATATATTAGGTTTTCACTTTAGGTTCTATAATAGTTCTTCAATTTTTTTTTGCGAGTTATAAATACTAAGTAGGTTTTTTAAATCCGCAACGACTAAGTGCTTACTGTATGATTAACTCACAGTGCGTGGTAAATCTATATTTCAAATTACAATATCCGTATTGTCTTTGTTATAGTATATTCAACATAATTGTTTCAGTAAAAAATACTATCAATAATTAAAACAAGGTATGTAAATTCTTTAATCACCCCTATACCTGGACAGTTGCAATTCACTCTGCCACAGTGTAGACTGAGCTGATTATGTTCCCTGAGTGCCGGAACGCGATAGTGACGAGTATAGGAAGGTTTTATTATTATTAATTTGGTCTGTTTACTTATCCAGTTAGCAAGGCACCATTTAATGAAAGTATCAAAGTCAGAGTCAACAGTTATAAATTAAGGGATTTTATAATGTATAACGAAATTGTTTTTAATAACTTCTCATGGCTAAAGATTCTTAATTTCTTAAAGATTTTAATAAATTCTTAATTATTTACAGTTTTTAGGATCTTTTACTAAGATTAATAAGTTAAGTGAAATTAACCCCAAGAACCCCAATAGCATATTTAGCTAGTTATGAAAAACCATTAACAATTTGGTAATCCACTCACATGTTCAGATCACAGAAAACTAATTAAATAAAGATGGATGAGGAAAAATGCTTACGCCGAAATTGCTCCACGCTGTTTTCTTAAAGGAAACCGCGTATTTCATTCTCACGTCGGTATAAAGATGAACTCACACTTGCCAAGCTTATTAAACAGAAAAATTTTGTACAGTGTTTTTATTACAACTCCAATCAGGCATATATGTACGTATATGTAAAGAATTAGGGCCGGGAACAAAGAATAACGGCGTGTAGAGAAATATGCAGAAATAAATCAAAGTTTAAATTTAGGTAACAAAAAAAAATTAAGAATCATTTTCTTCACACTTAATTGAATCGTAGTTTCAGAAGGATATATTAAAATAAACTATACTTCACCGAATCACATGGTCAACTATCAAAGAATGTCCCGTGTAGATCTTGCTATAAGGGACGACACGTCATGACTGTTAATTTTAAACTTAGTACAATTGGAATGATTTTTGAAGTGAAACTTCTTTATCGAGGTTGGAAAAAAATTTAGTGTAACATTTTTTCGTTACGCGTCACATTTTTCGGTTACGCGCCATGTTGCTTTTTGAAGTCAAACTTCTTTATCTTTTAGGAGAAATTTTGTAGCAAATCGTCACGTTTTTCAATGATAGTAATAATTCTATTACAATTAATGAAATTCTATAATAATCTTCGTAGTAATAAGGTAAAATGAAATATTTGTATTCATGTCTATGATAATAAAAGCCTTTTGTTAAACTTTATCTAATTTAACGAATTTCTGTAAAGTTGCATATAGTAGATCATTTTTCGAAAAATAAGATCATAAAGAAGTTTCACTTCTTACGTGTGTACACCTAGTACACGCACAATTTATTATTTTTAATTAATAAACTAGTTTAGCAATTCTAAAATATTTATTGTTCTATCTCGGTACTTCAGATATACAGAAAGTGTACCAGGATCTCAAGTAAGCCACGTACTTTACATAGAATGACAGATTTGGGAGGACGTAAACACGCGTTTGAATAATTACACTCACACAATACCAATTCGTATAGGGTGATATATGTAATGCGTAATGGATTAGGAATTTGACATATACGATTTACGAAAACCTATTTAGCGGCTATAAACAAGAGTTTTATATTTGCATAACATTTACACAACATTATATTGACATTACGTGATAGCTACAAGCAAGCGCTTTTCTGTTGTAATCAGCGAAATACTTGCGTTTATATAAGATAAAGTAGTTTTAATAACGAAATATTCTAGTTAGAATAAACAGAAGGGAAGTGACTCAAGAAACATCAACTACTAAAACATTTAATACGTTTAACATCTAAGCCTATTCCTATATATTTACTAAGATATATTGTGATTTTAATTCACGTATTAAATATATTTAGTGGTCCTATTATTTATTATGCCGAAGGCATTAGCCAGAAATATTTTTTTATAAACGATCATAATCGCAAATATATACTAATAACTAGCTGACCGGGCAAACGTCGTTTTGCCATATATATCATTTATAATAAAAAAATAGGGGTTGATCGTAGAGGGGTGAAAGTTAGGGGTTTGTATGTATTTTTTAATGCTGTATCATAAAAAAATAAAAACAGAAAAAAATATCTAAAAATAAAAAAAATATATTGAGGGGTGGACTACCCTTAACATTTAGGGGGATGAAAAATAGATGTTGTCCGATTCTCACACATATACAATAAGCACACAAAATTTCATGAGAATCGGTCAAGCCGTTTCGGAGGAGTATGGCAACGAAAACTGTGACACGAGAATTTTATATATTAGACTATAATAATTACATTACGGTTTGTTGGTTTTGGTATGAAAGGTTCTATTGAATGGTAATTGTTCAATATAAATATTTACTCTATTAATTATATCGAATTTATAGTATAACGTAAGTTACGTATTTATGTAATCTACTTGTCATTGTAACAAAGTATTCTTTGTGTAAATAAAAACCATACAGTTTAAAATAATATTGGTTTAGCGACCAAGAATCAAAGTTCTGGGCAAGTAGTGAAATCGACAGCTGTACTAACATGACCGCTGTGTATTTACATTCTAAAGAGTATGCGATCACGGTACTAGATCAACCTCTTGTTCCAATTCTATATAAACTACAATACCTAACCAGTTATAATTTTATAACCTCTTTTATCAAGATATAATTTAAAATAAAATAATTTTTACCGAAATACAATACATGTCAATAATTCAATCTTATAATTTTGGCACGCGAAACCTGGGCAGGAGACTCCTGATGTTAAGTGACACCACCGCCCATGGACACTGCTAGAACTAAAAAAATACAATGCATTTATATTAATAGTATAATTTTGGCACAAGAAACGTCGCGCGTTCAGCTAAAATTGTAAAATGGTATGTTTTCTTGTAGAACAAGTGGCAAATGGGCAGTAGGTTCATATGATGTTAAGTGACATCGCAACACATACACAATGCAAGAACTAGAACTTGCAACCCAAGCGTGTTGCAGGTCTTTTAGGAATTGGTACGGTCTTTAAGGACCTATATGGTCGCCCTCCAAAAAAGTACATTGTTTCTTTCCATTTTTGGCCATCATTTCTTGAAGTAGGAAGAATGGAAAAAATATATGGTGGAGTTGAGTAGTTTATGTATCCATTTTTAAAGATTGATACACGATTCAAATAACTTCGCTTGATAGAAAAAAAAAACAAACATAGCTAATTTGTGACACTTTGAATTCATTTTATGACGAAAATGTATAGAGAACATGATTTTGAAATTTACACGATATATTTTATCGCAAGCCAAGTAATCCATTTCAGAAAAAAATGATTAAATTACATTAATTTAATGTTTAACATAACTAATTGTTATTACGGGCCGGCGTGCCTCAGTGCTCCAGCTCTCCACTGCGCCCCGCAGTCCACCCCGAGACACTGACACAGCAATTCGTGCTGGGATAGGGCCTTAAGCGCATTTTAGTTATTCCTTGAAGGACTTGTTGAAAATAGATACTTGTAGTAAAACTCGGGATGGGAATAAGTAAAAGGTTTATATAGTAAACCGATACATAATATATTTTATTTCGCACAGGTATATCAATAGCATTGACATTTTTCGTATACAAGTGTAATGAATCAACTATTGAGTTACTTTTTTCATCCTATTGATTTTCCGTTTGATTCTCTCAGTGTAGGCTGCAATGATATTTGATAGTAGGGGTAACGTTGACGATTTCTCATCATCCTTGACCCCTACTTCCGCACATAACTCTCTTCGAGGACGCTTCACGGGCGACATTCCGGCCTCTGAACTCATAACAGATGCGGTATATAAGTACCCATTCCATTCAAGATATTCTCGAATCAATTCGTTGATAAGCAACACTTCATCTGATAGTTTTGGCGCGCCCGTGTTTTTATAATTGGGGTTGAGGGCTACTTGTCTATTCTGAAGGATTTCGGTTACTTTGGCTCTCATCTAAAATAAAGTTAATCAATTTGAAGTGTTTTCTAATATAAATTTATACGCACAAATGTTACGTGCTAAACTCTAATTCTTTTCTTATATAAAAATAAAAAAAAAGGTTTCTGAATCTGTTTCTTTGATACCCTATACTAAATAAGGGAAATAAATTAACATCTGTGCCAACTTCAGATTGAAACTATTATTGTTTCACTGGAAAATTAACTTCAGACTTATGCTGCACTATAAAAGGAAGGAAGGTACTCTTCTCCGACCTAAAGGAAAGATCCTGGACCAAACCAACAAAAAATATTTTTCTTTGTAATTAATAATTACACAAATGTAGAATAAATTATCAAAAACGAGCCATTGTGTGTGTCTGTCTTGAACCATTATGGAAAATTGAAAAATAAATTTTTTCGAGCTTTTATACTGTCCAACATGATTAATTATTTCATTTTATTCAAAGTTACCTCTGCTTGAAATTTATTCAGGTGACCGCCTTTTCTCAAAAGATTTTTTATCGCATCCAAAAGCTCTTTTTCCGACACCGCTTTGTTTTCACTCATTTCGCCGAAATTTAATTCCAAGAGATAATAATTGATTTAATATAGGGCCCTTGAAATACAACCCTTCGATTTCAATGGCATTGGCGTGTGTGTCATTTGTCAGTGGTTAAAAAGTATATATTACGACAGCCAGTATTATAACCAAATGCTATTACGATATAGGTGGAAGTACCGCGATTAGGATTTTAGGTAAAATTTTGGGAGGGAACTTCTTTAATAACGTTGGTATTTGATTTATTCATAAAAGCTATTAAAATAGATTGAAAGCTACATAAACTGACTAGTCACATAACCTAAAGAAAATAGAAAAAAGAAGAAATAAGTCAAAGAAAGAGAATGTCGGTGAAATTATTATAATCTATAACATAAAAATGTTTTTTTTTTAAATCTGAGACATCATTGAAAATTATGTTGTTAATGTATTATACACATTACTAATAAGGATATTTAATATTTAGACATTAAGACACTCTGTTCTTTTGTTCTTTTTTCACTTACCACTGTTTAGCACTTAAGACAAACGCGCTAACATTAATACACTAATCCAAATGGTTTAGTATGTTTCACTCTTCTTACAAGGCCTGTTGTATCAAGAAGTTTGAAACTAATAATAAATTAAATATTAGGTTTTGTGTGGGAGGTACAAAAAGTCGAATATTTTTAAATATAATATATTTAATTAATCAAATTATGAACCATTGTTTTCTACGCACTTTGCCATCTCATAGGTAGTTCATTGATCCCTTTACTAAAAAAACCAGTCGGACGGGAATCAATAAAATCTGTGAAGGCGATTTGGACTGCCCCATCAGAGTTAAATTTTTTCCCTTGCAAAAAGTTGTCCAAATTTCGAAAAAAATGGTAATCTGTTGGAGCAAGGTCCGGGGAGTACGGAGGATGTCTTAGACATTCCAATTGAAGCTTTTCTAATTTGGTAGCCGTCTGTTGTGCAGTGTGTGGTCTAGCGTTGTCGTGAAGTAGCAGTGGCGTGGAGCGATTGACCAGCCTAGGTTGTTTAGCCGCTAGCTTTTCCATCATGGTTTGCAATTGCTGACAATAGACATCAGCCGTAATAGTCTGGCCAGATTTGAGAAAACTGCAATGAACAATACCGGCACTAGTCCACCAAACGCTTACAAGTAACTTTTTTGGGGTTAATTTTCGCTTGGGGCAGGATTTGGCTGGCTGGCCAGGATCCGACCATTGCGCTGAGTGCTTTCGATTATCGTAAAGAATCCATTTTTCATCACAGTACCGTAATGATTCGGTTTAAAATACCTTCATTATTGTGCCGGTTCAGTAATGTAACGCAGCAGTCGACGCGCGTTTGCCGGTTTGCTTCAGTCAATTCGTGAGGTACCCATCTTTCAAGCTTTTTAATCTTCCCAATTTGCTTCAAGTGAATTAAAACAGTTTTAACACTAACATGGCAGCCTGCAGCTAGCTCGGACGTAGTTTGCGATGGATCCGCTTCCACAATAGCCTTCAATACTTCATTATCAACTTGGGTCTCAGGCCGTCCACGGGGCTTGTTCTGCAGGTCGAAATTTCCAGAACGAAAACGTTGGAACCAAAAACGAACTGTGTTTTCTTTTGCAACATGACCGCCATACACATCATTCACCCTTCGAGTCGTTTCCGCAGCACTAGTGCCACGGCGGAACTCGTACTCGTAAATAATGCGATACTTTAAGTTTTCCATTTTGTAAAATGAGTGACGCAAACAGAAAAAAACAGAAGAAAAAAACAAATGAATGACGGTCATCGAAGCACAAATACATGACAAAGCAAACAAAATAAGCTGTACAAATTTGAATTTGGAATTCCTTACCAAAGAGGAGAACATCGTGATTAAAGTGGCCAGTACGAAATACCCCAATTTCATATGTAAGGACCTAATATATACACTAACTTTACGTTTTTATTATTATATTTGATGATTATATTCATTATTATATGATGTATTAATGAAAATTTACTATACTATAATAAATTATTAAACCCTCAGTAAAAAATATATAATACGAGTATAGCTGTGATTTTAATTATCTGCCTTCACAAGACTGTATTTGTCTTGATTTTATTGAAACTCGACCCCTATCAATATCACTTTCCCTAAGCTGGGTCTAACGAATCAAGGAAGAATTGAATTTATGTTGCACACATTATTTGTGGCGTGCACCCGGTAACAAATGCCATGGGTATTAAGGCGAGACAGTTTGATCTTTGAATCTTTTTACCGCGTACGATTAAAAAGATTGAGCAACCGACAACGAAATGCTTGTGCATATAGAGTTTTTATAGACAAATCTATCGCAAAGTAGTGCATTTCATAAGAATTATATCATTATAAATATCAATTATAATAATAATAATATAAAAGTTAATAAGCTATAATTGTAGGACTAGAATGATACTCGCTAGAATAGGATTAACATTTTGGAAATAAATAAAACGTACGAATTACATTTTTATTATTTTTATAGTCATGTATAGCGATGAAAATAATAATGTTATTTAGAAGAGGATCTACACTTCTAAGTTCTTATTAACTTCTGATTAAATTTTATTCAGCAATACTGCCTTGATACGGTATTAACACAACATCTTAGGACGTCGATTAATATATAAGCTATGAACTAGAAATTAATCTTAAATCTACACATATTTCTTATTTTTGTTTTTAAGTCTCTATTGATATTGGAAAACTAGTTTATTTATTTAATTAATCCTCTTTTGAAAAGCTACTGAGCATTGCTTTACCTATTTATATAAGTCAAGAAAATCTTTTTAAAATGTCATAATTATGTAAAACTCTTTTAAGGTATCACGTATTAAGTATCGCGGTAATTACTCCAAGTACATAGCCTTTTTAACCTTTTAAGCCTTGCTCACATTTCCTATGACCCAGTTGACTAAAGTAGGTAACTAGTTTCGCTATACACTCATGCTTTTTTCTTTGTTGGTACTAATTTCTCTCTTTTATATAATGTTCTATACTCTTCTATTGTCTTACTGGATTACGCATAACTTTAAAATAACCAAATATTGGAAAAGACGTTAATAAAACTAAATCTGATATTGTTCCTGGATTACACGTGAGACTGGTGCTGGTAAGCAATACCCACTAAGACCATTTCGGGAAGTTCCTTTAAGCAAGGCTCTGGGGCCTTGGTTTATACGATCACCATTTAAAAAAATGTTTAAATATTTTGGGAGTTCTAATCTTAATAAATAAATTGTGTTAAAGTATTATTTTTAGTAATGTGTGATAGTTTTTATTCGTAGTTCAGTTTTCGGTCCAAATTGAGGCTGTATTTGTCAGAACCACCGTACTGCATTTTTAGCTTCATACTCTTTATACTTCTTGGTTCATTTATTATTACAATTTTATGTTAACATGAATTTCAGTTAGATCAATAAATTAAGCATATTGATTTTTCGAAATCAAGGGTGCTTTGATGTAAAACTTAACAACATATATTTCAAGAACTTTGAGAAGAGCGCCTGAGGGATTTCTTCTTTCAGTAAATAAATAATTTGTTGAAATATGCTACAAGGTACAATAAGGTTCACTAATTTTACTACTTTGAAAGAGTCACATGTGTTAGATCGAACAGTGTAGACTGCTTTTTTATCAATTGGGCACAGAGATTTATATACAAAAAAATATAATCTATAAAATGAATGTGGTCATAACTACAATAAAAAAATACCTATTTCAAAAATTTGTATTGCCTTTTTTGCTCTGCCTTATGTAATAATTCGAGAAGCACGATAGCATAATTATGAGATTGTTTAAATACCGTCATTTTCCCGACAAAATTAAATTATTTGTTCGTTATATATCGTATATTTTAAAGACCTTCAAGATACGTCCAACAAATTACTGCGCACGGCTCTTGACCGCTCTTAAGATCTGTTGTAGTCTTACATTTGTTTCCAATGACCATGCGCTGTAGATAATGGGTGCTGTTAATAATATGCTCTGAGAAGTATTGCGTAATTTAAAAAAGGAACATAACAGTTTTAAATCAGTTATCCTACAGATGTATTTTAGTCTAGTCGACAAGTTGAAAATGGTACAAAATAGAGATACTGCTCTTAAAATTATGTGCGATAGCTCATTGGATCCGGAATGACGTCTAGAAAAATGTGCCAAAAGCGTGTATTAGCATGTAAAAAATTGCAAAAGTTATAAACAATTAAAGATGAAAAAAAATGGCATTTCGTTTTTTGCCAATATTTAATAAACTATTAATATTTAAGAAATTTCAAAAAAGATTCTGAAAGAAGAGGAAATTTCCAATAAAAAACTCCGTACTCCCGGAACTCTATCTCCATTATTTATAATTTTAGTAAAATTTTCAAACGAGCCGGGAAGCCCAAAATGGGCATCGCAGCCAATGGTCACCCATTTCAGGGGAGCGTTGGCGGCCTTTGTATATGCTCACATCTTCCAGGAAAGATCCCCACCGGGAAACGATTTCATAGTTCGCAAAAGAAAATGTCTTGTGAAGCGAACCGTGTTAGACTTCCAGCCGTCGAGGTGGTGCGGATGAAATTTTATTATATTATATTTTATTCTGTTATTGTTATTTTTTATCTTTTTAGTTTTAGTTATTATTATTAATTTTTAATTATTATCATTATAATTTTTTGTTTTGTTTCATTTTTTTTATTTTGTGGTTGTTTCTTTAATTCTTTCCTTTGATAGATTTCTTATGTTCTAATGTAATTGATGTATATGTGTATGTGTGTTAAATTTGTGATGTCATATTTTCTTGTATTTTTTTAGGCATACACATTGTTTTAGAATGTATAAATAAATAAATAAAAATGAATTATATTATGTTAATAATAATTCTCCAGGCAGCAAGCTTTTTGTGTTTTTTAGACTTTTTTATTAATAAAATAGAATGCAAATAGGTAATTAAACTAAAAATCTTCTCCATAAATAGGGAAGCGCTAGGCGCTATTAGCCGATTTATTTTGCAATC